TTCTGACTCACAGATGGGCTGATAGATTCAACAAGGAGAACAAAAGAGCTTCTTTTGTTGAAAATTAACATTTAAAAATCAAAGGTAAAGGTTGGTTTCAAATGTTTTTCAAGGTGAAATGATGTATGGGGTACCATTTGTAAAGTTACACAGTCAAAAATTACCATCAATATTTTACTTTATTTAGCCTTTATACATTAATAAATGTCATAGTTCCAAATTAAATATTTACTTTCCAGGGTAAATACATTATTTAGTTTACAAGAAGTAAGACAGATGGTTTGACAAGTTTTTTTTACAATAGAATAGAATAGAATAGAATAGAATAGAATAGAATAGAATAGAATAGAATAGCCTTTTTTGTCCCGCCCAGAGGATATTTAGGTGTCACAGCAGCATCAGTACAGAGGTTCACATAGTAGTTACTTTACAAACTATAGATAGTGCACACAAAACAAAATCAACACTGACTAACCATGATACGACTACTGATAATAAAAATTTAATATAAAGAATTGAGCAAGAATAGAAAACAATAAGTTTTGTTTTAGAGACAGTAGATTATCAGAATCCGACATTAGGAGTCAGAAATTGCCTGTTTTCAGTGCAAAACGATCTCAACAGACTAATAACTGCAAAGTGAAGTATCACAATGCAGACAAGAAACACAGGTGTGTAATTACAGCAGAGTAGTAGTGCAATGATTGTTCAGTTCAGTAATGACAATGAATAGTAAAAGTACAAATGATTGTGCAGCTGCAGGTGTGTAAACACTTAATGTGATTTTTGTAAACACTTAATGTGATTTTTGTTAAACACTTAATGTGAGTTTTGTTAAACACTTAATGTGATTTTTGTTAAACACTTAATGTGATTTTTGTTAAACACTTTTTGTGATTTTTGTAAACACTTATTGTAATTTTTTTAAACATTGTGATTTTGGGGCTTGGTGCTGGTTAAAGAGTCTGACAGCTGCTGGGAGGAAGGATCTATGATAACGCTCCTTTGTGCACCTCGGATGCAGCAGTCTGTCACCAAAGGAGCTCTCCAGTTCAGCCACAGCTTCATGAATGGGGTGGGAGACGTTGTTCATCAATGATGTTATTTTAGTCAGAGTTCTTCTGTTATGACCACAGATGAGAGTTTTTATCAAATATGAAAAAATAACTTTAGACACAAAAGAAGGTCTCAGATTTCAGCTCAACAAAGCTTACAGTGCAGCACTGAGCCCGATACGCAATCAGTTGTACTCTCTCATGTCATGCATTTCCCAACACATCACTTTTGATCCAGGCAAAGACCCTGTCGCTTCTCTGTTGTGAGAGTGAGAGGCGTGTAATTTAACGTAGGCTAAGACTAGAACTCCTTACTCCAGTTTGGAATTGAGAAATCTTGGATGGGAGGCAAAATGTCTTCAACTACAGAATTGAAAGGCGTCATTTGGGCAGCTGAGTGGTTTCAACCAGGTAGAGGGAACCTCTTTGAGTTTGGTCTAAAAGTGTCAGGAAAACACATCAAACAGGCACCACTCTACCACTGTGAACATGAAAAATGAGCCAAATCTTCTCTGCCATCAGCTCATCTTGCTGTTATTAACACTTGTTTTGAGCTTCTGGTACCTTCAGCTGCTGCTAATAAGGTGCCAGCTTTGTTTGAGAGCATTGTTACAACAAAGTAATAATCTACCAAACAATAATTTCCTTACTTTTAGTGCTAAGTGTGTATATATCTAACTATTTATTTTACATTTTACCCTCATAGTTTCCTCTGCGCTTCTCTTCTGTAGATAGATGACCTAAAGATCAAAGTTCAGGACGTTATGGGCAAGTTCAAGAAGCCTGTGCTGAGGAAAGTACGCATGTCTGCAGACGCCATGCTCAAAGCTCTGCTGGGCTCCAAACATACAGTCAATCTGGACCTGAGGGCCAACTTAAAGCAGGTCAAGAAGGAGGTCAAAGAGGAGGTAAATAAAAATCCAGTTTTATTTATGTTTGCATGAAAACTGCGAAGAGATGCAGAGGGGTGCAGGGATGTAAAATACATACTGTTGGTAGGAGAAAGAGTATTCTTTAATCTAACACATTTTGTTCATTTTGTTTTGGTCACTTTGTTGTTTAAACAACTCTTGATCAATGTGCATCAGAAGCTTCACCTGAATTAACCATTTCTTACAAATTCTCAGAGTCAGTGAAATCCTTTCATTACACATGCATCAGCCCTTATTTTCTGGACATCTTGCTGTTTCAGGAGAAGGAACTTCGTGATGTTGGTGACTGGCGGAAAAACATTGAGGACAAATCAGGAATGGACGGGAGGAAGAAGATGTTTGAGGCCGAGGCCTAAAAAGAGTGGCTGCAGTGTTTCAGCTTCTTCCTTTTATTCAGCAAAACTGCTTCGTCTTTCAAAGTGCGTAAATTCTGCACTACCCTGTAACTTGTAGAAGTCCAATAAAATATTGCAATATTTTTGAATTTACAAAATTTGTTAAGCCTTTTTGTTAAAGAGCCTGTGTGTTATGTGTTTCTTAGGCACATAATTCAATTCTATACCAAAAAGAAGTAACTGTCACCTTCAGTTGTTATGAAAAGACTGTTTATATGTATAAATCAAAAATAAACTTGACTTCACATCGTAGCTCTCTCTAAACGCCTTGAGACTGGCCTCAGTCTCTTTAAGAACCTCCTACCGCTTCTGTCCAGCCCATTTCAGCACATCATCACAACAACTTCATCCTGTCCACCTGTCTCAGGTTAGTGGACATTAGGAGACTGTCCAGTCAGAAAATTTGTCACTACGTCACAGAGCAGAGTCTCTCTGATTGGATGACGCTTACATACATGTAGAGCTGCAAAAGTTCAGATTTTCCAACTCTAGTGTGCGTGTCAAGCACATTGAACACTCAAAACATGCTGTGCTAGACGCGCCGCAGCACTTCCCAATACTCCCTGGCACGTGTCCACCACAGACTTTGGATGTAGACCTGATGCCCTGATGGTCAAAACATGTTTGGTATGAACGCAGCATCAGTCACTTTTCTTCTGAACACTGAGCGCGTGTTACGCTTTATTTAGATCGCAGCAGAATGATTTAAAGTTGAAAAAGTAGGATCTAAAGCAGGGGTCTCCAAATTTTTTTCCTTAAGATCTACTTTCATAAAATGCAATGGTCCAAGAGCTACTTTTTGCAACAATTAATTTTAAATGTAAACCATTGGAATAAGCTTGTTTTGCACCAAAAAAACCCATTGTCTTCAATTCACATCAAACCACCACAAAGAACACTGAATTTACATGAAAGTGCTTTTTATCCATTCATGTTATAGTGTATTACGCACTACTAACTTAGTAAGTAAAGTAAGTAAGTAAAGTTTTATTTGTATAGTGCCTTTCATAGAAATAAATTCACAAGGTGCTGTACATTCAAGGAAGGGGAGGGGCAGTTAAGATAGGTCATGCAGCAAACACAGTTGCGCTACCTTAAAAACAGAACAACAGAAAAACTTTAAAAACCCACCTTTGACATGTCCTCCCATAGCCTGGTTTAAACCAGACCCTCGTCCTTCGCTTTGCTTCGTACAAGGGTCTGGACTTGATGCATAGAGAAGTGATTCTTGCTGGAGGCGTGGCCTCTGCTGAAGTTTAAAATGATTGGATCAGTTGGCTGCGACCTATGTCGCTGTGACGGAGGCTAAGCTAAGAAGCTAACCGGAAATCACGTGAGCTGTAAACAACCCTACTGAGAGGAGAAATATACCGAGCCGAAAGAGACTTCTGTAAATGAGAGCTGCTGCTTTGTCTGACAAATTAAATTTAATTTGGAAGTCTTATCAACACGGACTGGCTTCATTCACTTCCTCCYKWYCRYTATGCTAAAATAACTAGCAGACACTGCGCAGAACATCGACGTCGTTCAAAACTCCGCCTTTTGTTTGCTGATTGGCCCAGGTAAAATAAACTACAAGCAGACACTGCGCAGAGAATTGATGTTCTTTTCTCTGATTGTCCTGGCTAAAAATCTGCCAGCGAAATCCTTGTCAATGGGAGAAGTCCCAGAGGGAGCAGAGAAGGGAAACTAGAACTGAGCGGAGCTGCATAGGAAGGCAAGGGCCAGGCTAGTCCTCCCATGGAAGAAGAAAAAACTTTGTTCCAAAAATTTTATTGAGAGACCAGCTAACCAAATCCATAAAAATAAAAATATCCATAATTTCTATCCGGATGAAAAATGTAGAGAAGGCTCGAAGCAGCAAAGCAGGGAAGATAAGGAAGGGCGGGAGAGAAGGAAAAAGCCTCTTACTCCTCCAAGAGCGGGGAAAAAAACTTAGGGCTTAACTGCAACAGATTTGTGCACAAATAACGTTGGGTGACTGGTCTCTGATTTTTCCCCCGCATCATAGACTCCAGCGGGAAGAAACCCTGTTCAGTGATGTATACCACAGCAGGAGGGGTTTCCCAGGAGCTCTGCACAGTGTGTCTCAAGGGGCTATGAAAGGTGTGTGAGAAAACGAACGGCGAGCAACCATGTAACCGCCTCATCTGCAGATTGTCCACACTGAGCCCTAAACTGTTTGATTGACAACCAAGGGGAAGGGACATCTATAGAGTGATTGGAATTAAATGAAAGTTTGTTTGGCCACAAATTAAATTTTGCTTCCCCTAATTTTTCACAAGCACTGAAGAGCTACTTTAAATGAGCTCACAAGCTGCTGGTTGAAGACCCCTGATCTAAAGGCATGATATGTCTACTTTAACAGTCATACACCTGCACAATAATATCTTATACTAAGTTACCCAGAATCCTTTGCAGCTGCCCAGTCTTTTTTAAACACAGCACACTCGGCTCTTCTTCTATGTATTGTTGACAGCAGCCCACCAGCTACTGTAATAGCTGTTGCTGTGGGAAACATACCCCATCATGGTAGCTACAAAAAAAAAAAATCAGGGACATTTCCAGGGACAGTTTTAGATGGAAGCAGGTAATTCAAAACAGGGATTGACCCCAGAAAGATCAGGACACCCTAAGAGGACCAAATCCCAGTTTTGCAGCCATTAACACAAGCAGACAAAAAGTACAAAAAAATAAAAATAAAAAATTAACTGGCTTCTGTGTACCAGATATATTGAAGGAGGCCCTCTTTGTCATGGTAAGTAGGTGCCATAAACAGTGGCTGGAAGAGTACAGGAACATTGTTGTTGAGTGTAGACTGGACGGTCACACTGAGAGACTCCATTAAGGGTAGTGCAGGGATAAGATAGCGTGGGACTTCCATACCCAGACTCATAAGTAATGGCTAACCAACCACTTTGGTGGTCAACAAGCAAGAGGAGAAGGAAGTGTCAGTGGTGTAGCAATCCCAAATAACTGTAACTTCAGGAAGAAGGAGAAGCTGAAAGAGGAAATACAGAAGTTTTGGAGAGTCTAGTCCTCATTGGTGCCAGTGGTGTACTAGAAGAGCGGCTCCAACAGATCTCAGGGTCAACCTCAGAGATCTCTGTTCAGAACAGTACCGTCCAGGGAAAAGTATGATACAGAACCCTCATGCTCCCAGACCTCTGGTAGAGGACAGTTAAAGTGAAGTAGAACCACTCATGTAGAAAAACAAGGCAAGTTGGTGTCTTTTTAAACATGTATACTGTGTTTGTTCTGATTGTGCCAAGGCTGCTGAATGTATCAGTCCACCTGAGCTGCGCATCTTGTTAAATATATCCCTGAGAGTTTCCGCAGCATCAGCACCACTGACACGTACAGGGTCTGACCATGTTTAACACACATTGGGCCTCATGCAAGAACCGTTCGTACGCACAGATTTGTTCTTAAATTGTGCGTACGAGTGCTTTAGGAGAATTTGTGGCATTCACCAATGTTTTCGTATTCTAAGATTTTTTTCAGATACGAACAAAATTCACAAGTGGTCCAGACCTGCCATTTATTTTACAAGCAGTCAGTCTGCTGTTATCCAGACGGTGCGG